TTTGATTTCTTTTCTATGAAAATTTAACAAAAACTTGACTTTTTCCAAAAATGAATTGTGACAGTTTGACTTCTCAATAATTAATCTTTTTTCTGCTTTTACGCTCAAAGTGACAGCGTATTTATAGACGTTTCAATGTTCGCGAAAATTCTTTCTATTTAGATGTATTTAGACTTTTTCACGTTTTATTTTTAAACTTCTAGAAAGTTCTTTACTTTTCTATTGAGAATTTTATAGAAATTTGGGCTTTTTAGATCAGAATGAGAACTTATATATAAATTAAACATCTTAAATTAGTAAATAACACTATTTAATCTATAATTATTATTTTAAATGTCCACTTTCTGTTCAATTTCACCTGGATTTTCTGTCCCATATCACTTTCATTCACAAAATGTCCCAATATAACAAATTTACTCATCTTAATCTATTTATAATATCATAACCATCAAAATAACCAAATACATTGAAAAATAAAATCTTTTTAAACAAACTATTATGCTAATTTCTTAAGGATGCCCTCATATAAATACCTTTTATAGTATTCTCTAGTATATAACTCATAAATTACTTCTTAAATCGCCATTTAAGTTCATTCTATATTTCTAAACATTTTGATTACCTTCCTTTCACTGATATTTAATATTATCTTAATATATATATATATATATATATATATATATATATATATATATATATATATATATATATATATATATATATATATATATGTATTTTTAGAAATTACTTAAGACAACCCTGACAGCAGTAAAAAATACATTGGGAAGTATACGTTGATACTTTCCTGACACCCAAACAGTATTAAGAGCAATTTCCTAATTTAATTACACTCCGTCGCATCTATTAATCTGTTTTTTATCTTTTTTCTACATTGGTTATCTTTTTACTGTCTTTGAAAGGCATGCAAATTGGCCAAATCCTTTCTTGAATGTCACTTGGTCGTTCTCCGGCATAGTCTGCTAGCCAATATCGTATTTTGTTACATTTACACATGTCATTTTTGTTATATTGGTGCATTAAAGTACATTTTATAGTTTGCTATATTAATGCACCAACGGCCCATTCTATTTTAATTTCATTTCATTTTGTTACTCGTTAAAGTAAACATATATTTAGTTGCTATAATTTAATTGTTACCATCCATTATTAAATAAAGAGGGTACTTGAAGAAGCAGAAACATAAATAACACAAATTAAAATCTATGTAAAGAATCACTAATGCCAATTCTAGAGAAAGTCCTAGCACAATTTAATTTTCACAAGGGACCTGGTGATGGTCAAACAAAGTTTAAAAAAATTAATTTATACGATCAACTTGATATCAAAGGTAGTGAACCTTCTCCATAACGGACACCAACGGGAAAATAATTGTCCGTTGTGCAGAGCTGTCTGTTGTGCAGAGTTATCACTTAATAGATTGAAATAAAAAGAGGTTTTGATTTGCTTGATCTTTAATTATACATTTTCGTACATATTTGCCTAAGCATATACACAAATAAAACAAATAAACTACCAATGTAAAAAAGGTAGGAATTACTTCTTGAAAAATCATAAATTTTGGCTTGTTTTTTCTTTTAAGCATTATTTTTTACAATTTCTGACTCACCATTTAGAATTACAACAGATTTTTTTTTATTTACTCTTGCATCACTTTTGTACATAAAAAATTATAAGTCTCTTAATTTTAGGTAAGCGTCATTTAAATTACTTAGAGTTGTACTAAGTTCTAGTTCACTGTCACTGTCATTGTCGGAAACATTAAACATCTGTTTGTTTTCTATAAAATCACTAACACAACAGTTTACTTCCGAATTTTCCATCAATCTCTAGGTAGTCTAAATAATGTTTAACTCTATGACTTTCGCAAAAGGTTAACACTGGCAAATCATCTTCTAGGTCTTAAAGCTCCAGATTTTCCAAAATGTCTTCTCCATTACTATCATTTTTTAAACAACCGCACCAGGTGAAAAACTTAATTGTTTTTGTTGGAACGTCCCTCCATGCTGCCACAATCCAAATTAAGGCGTTAGCAATCGTTATGGACTTCTTCAGTTCAGCTGTTGATAAAAAACATTCTATAGATGACATAAATCTTTTCATCAAAAACTTTTTATACAGGTATTAAAGGTTTTTAATTATTCCTTGGTCTAACGCTTGACAATGTGCTGTAGTATTAGGAGGCAAAAATATTATCGATATGTTAGATAACTAAACATCTGGATGGGATGTTGCGTTGTCTAGGAATAAGAGAATTTTTATTTTTTGACGTTGTATTTCTCTGTTAAATTTGTGAAGTCAATCTGTTATGATATATCTGGTTATCCAGGCCTACTTGTAGTAGTATCGGCCAATTTGTAGTTTATCAATATGAAAACTTTTAAAATATCGAGGATTTTTACTTTTTACAATCACCAAAGGTTTTTCTTTTTCCCATTTAAATTTGCGAAAAATAATATGGTCAGCCTTTCCTTAGCAGATTTATCCCCAGTGCACTTATCAGTACAAAATGTAAAAGTTTTACTTGGTTAGGCTCGATAATACAGACTAGTCTCGTCAGCGTTATAAATATCTTTAGGTAAATAGCCACTTAATAAATTTGACAGTTTTCTATGCCACTCTGAAACATCCTCAAGGTTAACATTTGCAGCTTCTACAGAAATTGCTCTAAATTTAATGTTACGTCTTAAGCAAAACTTGTCAAGCCAACCATTGGAAGATTTAAAATCAAATTGAGTTCTTTCGCCGCCTCTAAAGCTCTTTCTTTTATTATCGGTCCAGATAATGGAATGTTATTACTTCTCACTTTACAAAACCAATCGTACATTATAGTATCGATGGGAACACCTTCAATTTCAATCTTTTTTTTTTGTTGAACATTCACTTTCACTATTCCATGTTTTTAAATCGGCCTTTTTCTTTAAAATGTCACTAACTTGAGTTTTTCCGATTTGAAACTTTTCGGCAAAACTAAAATACTATAATTATTTTTTTCAGATGCTTCTTTCACCGATATTTTTTCTTCCAAACTTCCTTTCTTTCCTTCTTTCTTCTAAAACTTTCTTTTAGGCGAAGACATTGTTAACCTTAGATCATAATATAGCAACTAAATTATAAATGTGTACAAAGGATGAATAAATTCTAAAATGGATTCTTCCATATCAAACTCGATG